GTCACATGAACACTACGATGGGCTCCAGTGCAGGTATACCAAAGACTCCGGTACACCCGGGGTTGGAGACGTAAGGTACGACGACCAGTGAGGGGCGTAAGGCTCGACGTTGGAGAAACAGCCCAACTAACAGTAACATCATGTTTTACCCTGACTGGCCCCAACGAGCCGTCCACCTGTCTCCCGGACCCCACCATACCGGGAATGAGCGGTAACCGGTTCAGAGCCTCGTCAGAGGTGGATAGAGAAAGGGTAGAAGAGGACAGAGACGACCAGTCGACCGATAAGAACCAGCGTCAGCGCCAAGTAAACAGTCTCGGACACCCACTTGTGAGCACAGCTTCTCAGGAGTTTAGGTCAACAACAGTCTGCAGTCTACGAGACCCAGTCCGGGCCGTATCAGTCAGTCCCTTGGTAGTTGGCCGATTCCGTATCTGTCAAAGTCCAGAAACCGTCGAGTTCACCAGAAATTGTCCCATACCATGTCATGGAGGCGGTTGAATGTTCGACCGCCCGGCAGTCGGACCTCGCATGCCACGATCTGCCAACACAACTAATTCCACGCCATCAGGAAGTTCCTGACGCATCCGAGGTGCCAGTGGATCTCAATTCAAAAGACAGGTGCAGCGATCCTGCTAATTTCATCGGTTGACGGTTGTCTGTACTTAGTTCGAACACCAACGTTGCACAATCCGAGGCAACATCGACAAATGCCGATGTATCATCAGGCCATTGAATGCCAGCTAATTCTGGACGGATTGTATTCGTTGATTAGTCCCGTTGGACCGACTCCGAACCGCCGAATCTCTCGATCACTGGCCATGTGAGCGCGGGCGGACCGACTCCTACCCACGTGGTCTCACACCATCACCCTCTGTCCTCTCACGTGACCTTCACCGCCGCGGGCGCCGAGAGCCGCGGGAGAGGAAGTGACTGAAACCAAACGGTTCCACCGCGCCGGCGCGGCGCCGGGGGCGGTGCGGTCCAGCGGTGGGCGCGGCGGTGGGCCAGCTGATGCGGGTAATCATCGCCTGCCACGGCTGCTGGACGCGGCCTTGGAAACGACAGAGTCACGTGGACGGGACGCTGGTGGCGGAGGGAAACCAGGAGGTGAGTTAGAGAACGGAATGGTGGGAGGGAGAGGGACTAAAAGAAGAGACAGAGAAAATTCTGAGCGATAAAAAGAGGAAGGGGAGAGAATGAAAGATAGACAGATGACAAACTGAAATCCAAAGACCGAAGAGAGCTGACCAGCAAAGGTCACTGCAGAGACACGACAGTAACGCAGGTCATTTTTATTGTTTTAGCGTATGTGGGCTCGGCTACCGCGAGGAAGCCAGCGCTCAGCGGATCACATTCGGAGCGAGCACGTTTTAATTCAATTGAACATTGGTGCCATAAGCACGTAGCGCGGTAGTGTGTGAGGTGTGTGACACAAGTTTGATTAAAACTTGAAAGTGAACACAACTAATGAACCCAGCAAGTCATCGCCGTCCATTTATTACAAAGTCCATTTAGCTGAAGACATTTAACAATATCGACGCGTAACGGAATGTCTCTCCAGCAGCCGCGGACCTATTTACGGCATCAGTTCGCCGCCTGGCCGCCCCCCTCCCTACCCCGTCCCTACCCGTCTGTCTCAACTCTCACCCCCCCCCCCCTCAGCTGACACTGGCCAGACGCAGACGGGACAAACTCTCAGACATCAGCCATCGTCACCACGCGGAGCGGCTCTAAACACACACATTCGACCGCAGAAGATACCCACTGTCCACAGACTGCATCACAGTGGATTGGGGAGGACCGCAGCGAACAACAGACCACACACCAGACCAGCACCGACCACATAGCAGACCACATGGTGAGCCACAGTGGACACTGGACAGGGGCGTGCCGAAAAAATGACAAAGTAGACCACACCGGACCACAGCGGATCATAACGGGTCCCATCCCAGTAGAACCCAAATGACCACAGTGGACCGGAGCGGACCACAAAGGGCGCCGGTTGGTTGTATCCATACAGCCTTCCGATCACCGATGTCTGAGCGCCTGGCATCTTCATCACATCACACCTATGGAACGCCAAGTCATCTAACCAGGCGTGCGCCGAGTGCTGGCGCTAATTTGCCAGTCACGCGGCGCAACACGCTCGAGAGGCCTCAATGGGAGGAAGCGTGGCCGGCGCCGCCCCGGGGCTCTGATCACTGACCATGGAACTGAGTGCCATGCAACTCACTAATGCACGACAATGGCTGCGCTGGCGGTCGGCGGTAGCCGCGGCGCACCGGCGGGACGCATTCCGGGTGACCTTGGTGACCTTGGTCAATGAACACTGCACAGGTTCACCCAGACAGGGTGCCCCAGGCGGGGTGAGGGAAGGAGAGAGAAAAACTGATGTGTCATTGTTGACAGATAGCAGTGCGACGTGCTGCTGGCTGGCAGGTAGCCAGCTGAACCCCTCTGCCCACAGCCAGAGGGCTGCCAACCGGTCACGAGGCGAAGGGCACGGTGCACGGTGTCCTCACCGGAGGGTAGAGGAGGCGCTGGGGGAGGAGCTGGGCGGACTAGCTACTTCGGGAGATTTCTTCCATCTGAACTCCCAGTCACGAACCCTCCGCGACCCATACTAAAAATGCCACGTCACGGAGACACACGATGCACTTTGTCAGAGTCATTCTCCTTCAGCAGCTCTTCCCTATTCTGAAGAAGTGTCGAGATTAATTGCGAAACCATTCGCACATTTTATGATGACAGAAGTGATTAGCACTTCTTCCTTGTTCGACGGCAGCTTACGTAAAAAACAACCTCTTGGTCAGTGGGCACACATATACCAAATTAAGCGAGCGTGTGAATTAATCTTTAACAAGCTGCTGACTCCATATTAGCCAAAACTCAAACGGTAAGCCAGCTCCTTTCGACAGTGCCTCCACCAGTTATAGCTCCCCGCCCCTGATTTCCCATATGTCAAGTTCACTGCCCGTGTTATTTGCTCCACCAAAGCACGTCTGTGACCAACTACGCCGTAACGCCATGCCATGTTGCATTGCTGCACAGCCGCTGCACAGGCAGTCCGCTGGCCAGTCGGGGGCGGGGGCGGCAGACACTATTGATCCGCCGACAGAGCTGTGCAGTTGCTCAGCGCCAGCCCATGAGCTTCCGGTGTCGTCGGTCCGCCGCGGTCAGCTGGACACAGGGGTCGATAGGGGACAGACACTGCGGCACCGGCCGGGTGTGTCCAAAACACTGTGACTCAGCTGGACCCCTGGGAAAGACAACTCAGCCCAGGCATCGGACAGTGTTCTGGGCGCGCTCTAAACACTGCCCGCATGGAATGTTGATGGACCCAGTGGCCAGGATGTTGCGGTCAGCAATTCTCAAAAGTAATCTGTCTTCGGTTTGTGGTTTGACATTTTATACATACAATCCGATTTAGTATTGATTGCCAATGCAGAAGATAGTTGCGAGGCCTTGATTCGTGATCGTAACCGGCTCGTGTCCTTGAAAGCCGATCGGGGCGATCGCTGATGTTCATGACAGTCGGGCATTTATGCAAATCCACTGTTCCTCCTACAACGCCAGCGGTCTGGCGAAGAGCAATTCGCCTTGATTCCCGCCTCCAAGGTCGTCGCTCATGGTTCACCCCCGGCTAGGAACATCAACATTCTAGTGCCCCCTTATCACAATATTATCTCAGATTCGGCAAGAGAGAAATACGGTGTGAAGCGAAGCCAAAGATGTAAACATGGCGTTTGTGGATGCCGCAGAAGAAATCTCCTGATAGAGGTATCGCCGCGAAAGCTTTCAACTGAACTGTCCTTCAACCCCCTCCCCGGCAGCTGACTGTCCTGCCCCTCTCCCCCCCCCCCCCCCTCCGTCTGCGAGCGCCACCCACTGCGGGGCTGCAGCAAGGAGCAGCCGTGACCTTGAGCCGTGACCTTGACGAGCTGCAGGCTGTAGAGACCGACCGGCACCGACGGACTGACGCCGCCTCGGCTCATGGAGCGCCGACAGTCGCTCCAGCTCGACTGCGACGTCAGGAGTCGCTTAGGAGCGACCCACAGACTCCAAGCACGTGGCCGAAGTTCGGGACCCAATCTGGACGAGCCCCGAAGTTGTAATGGCCGTGACCTTTCACCATGTGAAGTTCGGAGGTATGCCACGTACGACTGAAGCCTGTTGTTAGGGTGGCGGGTGCACAATACCGCCGCTGGCGACTTTTATTGCAGGGAAACCCTGGCAGCCGTCGCTGGGCCTGGCGCGGCGATCCATAAAGGGGCAGCGCCGGTCGTGGCCTGACTGCGCAGTACCGAAGGAGACCGCGCTTCATAGTTCCTGCACACTGCAGTGCAGAATGTCACAAAATGGCTAGCAGCTGGCGACTCCAAACACAGCATACCGTGGTACCGCTCGCAGAAACAGGCTCTCATAGTCTGGAATCGCTAGTCCGAACCACCACCACCGCCCTAGGCCCTCTGCCACAGTTCCGTGGTTTGATAGTCGGGCAAGTGGCGTGCGAACTAGCGATGGGTCGTTTGGCGATCGAGCGTTAGAACAGGCTGAGCGGAGATTTACGATGGTTCGCTGTGGATCGGGCCTAATGGAGCGATGGGACGCCAGCGGCCCCGCATCGGTAGATAGCAGGCATGGGGGTGTGATGGGCGAGGGCTAGTTTACATTGCGAGGGTGATGTCCGGATATCTTCTCAAGGATGCACTGACGAAAGCACCAATACGATTGAGCATGGACAGAATGTTTCTTTGATATTGCCTGGACTATAGCCTGAGGTGATTTGACCTCACGGGTGATCCCTGCTGTCCACCATAGGACTGTGCTGCGCTGTCCCGACCTGACCTCGACTGCTATGTCCTTTCCCCTCCCGGACTTATCAGTGGCCTGTGCCGACCTGGCCTGACCTCACTAGTTTCCACCGCGCTCCGGGTCTGTCCTGACGTGACCTGACCCTCACGACTGTCCCTTTCTCTCCCCTGTGCCGGACTGACCTGTGCCGGCCTGGCCTGCCCGTGCAGGTCAGTCAGCCGGTGTCGGAGGTCGGTCACATCCACCAGTAGCTGGTCGCGATCGCTGCTCTCCGCCAAATCAGCGGCCGACGCCTCCAAGGCATCCACCCGACGCGCAATGGTTCCGTCCTGAAACACACGGGATACGGGTCTCATTGGAGGGGAAGGAGGTCTAAGAATGGGCGGGGCATATCCCGAGGTATGTGGTAAAAAATGAATTTATGGATAACATCAAACGGTACAAAGTACATTATATTATACGAAGCATCGATAAAAATAGGAATGGTCGCTCTTCAAAACCCCAATCACTGGATATATCAAGGGAAAACAATCTTTAGCTGTCTAAAAGCAAAGATCATCCTTAGCCGAAATCACAACACCGCCTTTCGTCAGCCCCTAGATCCACACAGACCGACGGATGACCTCAACTGTTGCACAACTGTGTGTACGACTGAGGCAAGCGGCTCTCAGGAAGCACATCCGTCAGTGTTTTCAGATTCCGGGGAAAAGTTTCCCGGAGGGTCAACGATAGCTCAGCATCGCCCTCTTCTGTTACGGGAAGACGGATGATGGTGTCTAGGAATTGATATCGCGGTTGGGTCAGCGGTACCTCAGAGCCGTACCGCTCTGGTGTTCGATGGTCGCCGTACCTCAGAACGATAGACCAGATCCGTGTCTGCCGACCAGCGGCCGTCAAACGCTCCTATATAAGGCTTCACCGATAACAAAAACCGGTCCGGACAATAACACAGAGACGTCGGGGAGGGGACGGTGAGGAATAAGGATAGGTCAGCCCGCTCGGCAGCCTGCTGAGGCTTCGAGCTCCTTCTGCAAACACGGGTTCGGACGAGAGTGGCATCGTTTAGTGACCGCACTCACATGCACACCGTCTTCGTGAGCTCCCATCCCCATCATAGGCACTTTTCTAATAACTTTGCCCCCAACAACACTGGACATTGTCCGAACATCTACATTGCAATGCATGGCGCCCTCACCATCGTCTCGTTTCCATGCAACCCACCATGCCTTCTCTCCCCACCATTGTTCTCACGCAACCCATCACACCTCCTGTCCCCACGCCCCCGCCACTCCGCAGCTTCCCTGCCACTGCCCTACCGTTGGGGCCGAACATGCCTGCCTCCCAGCGGGACAGCTAGCGCTTATACCAAGTCGCCTCCGCAATGGGTCAACGTGCTGTGACAAATGGAGGCACGGGCCTTATCCGTGAGTCGCCCCCACAAAACCGGCGTCCACAACAGCCGCTGTGAGCTATGGCCATTGGCCACTACTGTCCGGGGGACTTTGTGACTGTGACTCTGACAGGGCGTCTGACGGAGCGACTCGTCAAAACAAGGATGGACGCTGGCAGGAGAGATCCACAGACGGTCGGCGCTACCTCGCCCTGGGGGTTCTTGTTGCGCACAAGTCGTAAGGCCAGCTTCACAGCTCACACTTTATGACCTAATGTCGCCCCACACTTGCATAAAAAACGCAGCTATTGCCATAGCACATCACCCCGAGGTATTTTGGCTCCTGATCAGAGACTCGCTCGAGCAGGCGCGCCGCCCATTTGTCAGAATCGAGGATGGCCGGATGGCATGTATCATGGCCCAGCCAGCAGCCGGTTAGATTGGACGGTACTGGGAGGCCATCCGGGTCAGGCCATGATAGAAAATATAAATTGATGGCATATTCTCGGTAAGGAAGGGCGGAGCTATTTGTCCATTTTTAGTGACGTCAAATGATGAAGTCGATATTTCTAAGGACGGGTTATTTTAAGCCTTCACCCTCAGCCTCACTTATTAAGCCGTCACCCTCCCTTTCCCATCCTTGATTCGGCTACTAGAACAATCTTAGGAGATGGAATTGTCGTATACCATGCATCTATACCAATTAACCTATACCAATTCACAGGTAGATAAGGCAAGAACAAATGACACAGAACACACTTAACTTCGAGTCAGCCTCAGCATAGTCGTGCAGCCACGCTATGGGACCCCGGCAGTCTTTCGACACGTCGTGCAGTCGAATAAGCGACCGGCACTGTTACTGCAGCAGCCGCTGCACTATTCTGTATAAATTGTCCCGTTCCATACAGAATACGCCGGCCACCACAGGCGGACGCCCACTCTCGGGAGAGGCCGCTATCCGTACCGCCGTTACGACGAGGGCAGGCGGCCTGAATACATTCCGACTGCGGGGGTCAGTGTCAGCGTCGGTGTCAGCGCCAGTGTCAGTGTCGATAGCGGTGTCGGTAGCGGTGTCGGTAGCAGTGTCGGTAGCGGTGTCGGTAGCGGTGTCGGTAGCGGTGTCGGTAGCGATGTCGGTAGCGGTGTCGGTAGTCAGTAGTGATGTCAATTTCAGAAATTTTGGAAACCAATACCAAACCGATACCGACCAAAACTACTGAGAGCATACCAAAACCGAACCGATTTGCAGAAATAGGGTGAAATACCGACTAGGTAGGGGAGAGTGGGGAAAGATGCCCAGGGTTTTACTATGTCATATATTATTCGAAAATGACGATCGGAAAGCAAAAACTTGGAGTTTCAACGGAAGCCGACATCATTTTTCTCCAAAAAGATCACACTTTCGTGCCTGGAATATGATAACTTGTTTTGCTATTAAGCATTTTCCTGAAGAAGTGAAAGGGGGCATCTTACCCCACAGGGTGGGAAAGACGCCCCCTGGCGTTGGGGAAGATGCCCCCTGCACTATAAGTGACATAAATGGGCACGTGAATCGCCTGAACGAATCAGTAGTCCCTTCGAGCCTGCAGTAGACACCAAACGTCATCGTAAGGGCCCTCAAAAGTAGTCGTAAGGGGCTTCAGAGGTCATCGTTAGGGCCATCATAGTCCAGCGCGGCCACACAAGCCTCCGTGGTGGCGTTCGGAGACCACTGTGGGGCCCTTATAGGTCTTCATGATGCTTGAGGGCCCTCGAGCCCATCGTGGGGACCTCAGATGCCAGCGCGGCCCGTGGAGCCAACGTGGGAGCCCTCAAAGGATGTCGTGAGGGGTCCTGGAGCCAATAATGGGGCCCACAGAGGCCGTCGTGAAGGCTCTCAGAGTCAGATGCCGCCCCAAAAAGTCGCTGTGTGGGCCGAGAGACCGGCATGGGGAGCACCCGACCGTACTGGACTCTCAATAGTCCCAGATCGGCTTTTGTCTCTCATCACAAGTATGTAATAAATGATTTGACGGGCTGCTTGAAGGACAGCCTACGGATTTAGGGCGGGGCGTCTTTCCCCATCAGGACAGGGGGCATCTTACCCCAAGGTACCGAAGTAACATTAAATCAGTACAATTTGTTAGCCATAAAACTACACCCTGAAACAAACTGTTTGGGACACAGTGCACGCATGTTGATGTATCACGACTATAGCAAGGGACGCAAATATTATCTACCTTCTTTGATATTTGCAATGTTTTGACACCAAAATATTTTTTGAAAACAGCAAATAAAAAACATGCAATCACCAGCCAGCCGTTGCCCAACCGAGCTTCGCAAATTTTTGTGCAGTTAACAAGGCAGGCTTCCGCTTTACGCTAAGAACATTAATTTCTAGGTTCGATTCTTTGTTTCGCCGCTAGAGGGGGTGGGGCGTCTTTCCCACCCTGGTCATCTTACCCCACTCTCCCCTACCGAATTCAGGGAATCATCAAACAAATGCTTCAAACTTTTTCAAAACAAATGATAAGCACTGAAAGGTAATACTTTAAAATAAGGCAACCAAAACAAGTCAGGAAATCTCTAAATTATTTGCACTGCAAACAATGTAACTGTATTGTGCAACTATGAACAAATATTCAGGTCAGTAACTTAACTGGGATGTGGATTAGGGTGGTCCGGTTTGCATCACTTTTTTGAAAAGTCACGGTCTCACCCCCCTATCTGGTGCATTTTGGGGCGCTGATTACGATAAGCACATAAAAAATGCAAATTTCGATTTTTTTTTGTAGGCCCCGGTCGATCAAAGATTTTGAAAATTTTGCGAATTCGCACATTTTTTACCATATATCAGAAAAATGAAGAATAAAGTTATTAAAATGATATTTAACAGATGCAGCAAACATATTCCTAGGCGTATGTGCGCAAATTAGTGAGCTAGGGCTAGCCAAATTATTTTTGGACTGAAATTACTGAGGCCATTTCCGTGTTTCCGCTCCCGGCCGCTAGGTGGCGACCGCCAGGGCGGTCGCTACCGGTAGAGGACGGGCCATCGCTCTCATGTGTTTTGACGCACTGCGACGACATTTTGAGTGACGATACTGATATTTACAAACTAATGACACAAGCGGTGTATTATTCTGCCTATTTCAATAGAATTGGGTATGAAATACCCACAAAGGAGTACGCACCACACCCACACAGCCTGGCGATTTTGCCGGCACTAGTCACAACCACTAAACCTTACGCAACGGCATAAAACGAACAAAGCAACAACATGTGATATTTAGCACATCTCGCACAAGGAGATTATGTCCTCTTATCCTGGTGTCCATCTAAGCTAGGTCACAGCGCCCGCGACTATAGCGCCACTTGGAGTCCGACTACTGACTACTGCCCGCGAAAGTGACGCCGAAAGGCTATCTTATTCAAGCTATAGCCGTCCTGGCGCACCGCGCTCGCCACCGCTCCAGAGGACTGGGTGGTAAGCTTGACGGCGCGCTCTGTGGACTGGGTGTGACATGGCACCCTAGTCCGCAGCGGCTCGTCCACCAGTGCCTCCAGGTCGCCGTCACTGAGAAAGCGAACACAAGGTGGCTCTACATCAGCCACTCGAGCGTACATGGTGACGTCGACAAGCTCCGTGTACTGGTGAGCAGACACATTCACCGACGCGCTTTGCACACGGAACTGGCGAACTGGCCCAGGCTGCCGGCGAGCTCGTGCCTCGCGCACCATCTGCACGGCTCGTGCTCTGACGTCACGGCGCTCGTCACCGAGCATACCGAGCACCACGTTCTCAGGAACCACGCTGCCGACCTGCCGGCGCTGTCACCTGAAGTCGAGCGGTCCCTGAGCTCCGACATGCAGCTCCTGTACCAGTGCGCCAGGTGTGTGACGACCGGTGATGGCAGCGCCGTGGAGCACCGGATCCACGGCCAGCTGAACATGGCGCGCTGGTACACGGCGCAGAGCCGTCTCCTCCGGGCGTACATGTCGCAGCCGGCTCCCAGCGCTGAGGACGATGGCATGGTGACGGACAGACACCGGCGTCTGACGACACTCGCCCTCTACATCGTGGCAGTGTACCTTCCGACCGTTCTGGCCATCAAGCACAAACCGGACCTGGTGGAGGCGCCCCGACATCTGTTCGACCAGCTGCAGCGACAGAGGCAACACATGGGAGGCCCAGACCTGCAAACTGCTCAGGGTAGCTGTGCGGCAATGCGTTGATGGCTCATCCTGAGAACGTGGTGCTCGGTATGCTCGGTGACGAGCGCCGTGACGTCAGAGCACGAGCCGTGCAGATGGTGCGCGAGGCACGAGCTCGCCGGCAGCCTGGGCCAGTTCGCCAGTTCCGTGTGCAAAGCGCGTCGGTGAATGTGTCTGCTCACCAGTACACGGAGCTTGTCGACGTCACCATGTACGCTCGAGTGGCTGATGTAGAGCCACCTTGTGTTCGCTTTCTCAGTGACGGCGACCTGGAGGCACTGGTGGACGAGCCGCTGCGGACTAGGGTGCCATGTCACACCCAGTCCACAGAGCGCGCCGTCAAGCTTACCACCCAGTCCTCTGGAGCGGTGGCGAGCGCGGTGCGCCAGGACGGCTATAGCTTGAATAAGATAGCCTTTCGGCGTCACTTTCGCGGGCAGTAGTCAGTAGTCGGACTCCAAGTGGCGCTATAGTCGCGGGCGCTGTGACCTAGCTTAGATGGACACCAGGATAAGAGGACATAATCTC